ATGCAAACGCCAGCGCTTGGCAAAGCCTCAGAACATTTGGAGACTCCATTCGAAGTGTTCTGACTCTGCAGACCTCCTGAGGTCTTGGGTGTGTGGATCATAGTGAAAGAACCACTGCTCTGAAGGTTTTGAGTATGCTAGTACATACATACACATACATACACACACACACATACATACATACATACATACATACATACATACATACATACATACATACATGCCAGTGTGAGTAGCATCTCTTAACATGTTAGTGGGTGTGCAGCGCCCTCTGGTGGACTGCAGAGACTTCAGCAGCTAGGTCTCGGTGCATTCAGTTGATGCCTGGTTCCCTCCCATCGCACAGAAAGCCTGGCTGGAGTCTCTTGTCTGAGGTGCATTTCCAAGGGGAAGCATGTGTAGAAAAGGGTCTCCCCTTGCACCTGCAGAGGCGTGTGGAGGGGAGCAAATGCCCTGGTGTTTCTGAAAGCCGCCGTCTCCTCTGTAGTCGGGGCTCTTCCGCCTCCGCAGGCGCCCCGTCCACGTTCTCTGCCGTGGGCTCTAATGGCAGCCGTTTGTCCTCTGCTCAGGGCGCACGGCGACACGCAGCACTGTCGGAAGGCGCTGCACCGAGCTGTCCAGTGCACCAGTGACTACCCTGAGCATGTCTGCGAAGTGTTGCTCACCATGGAGAGGACGGAAGGTGGGACCCTGCCTCTGCTTCTGGCTTGGAGTGTGGCCCTTTGGCCAGGGGAAGCGTCTGGTCTGTAAGGACAGACCGGCTGCTTGCCTGTGGGGGGGGGCCCTCTGCAGCAGCCCCCAGTCTGCAGTCACACCTCTGGCTGACCTCATCCTCCCCGCCACAACCAAACGGGACCCTCACAGATGCCCCTTGGATGGGAGGATCCGCATGAGAACTCAGAAAGCAGGACTCAGCTCAGCATGTTCTTTGGTCCCTTGTGGAATTTTAGGTCCTTGGTGTTGGCCCTAAGCCATAGCGGTAGCACTTGGGGAAACAGTGTGGATTTCTCCATGGGCACCTGTCTGGATTAGGGTGTGAGCCTGAGACCTGCAGATTAGACCCAGAACAGAGACGCTGGCACACTGGAGGAGCTCCCTCAGCTCTTGAGTTTCATGTGCACTCTGCTTTGGAATGTTTTTTACCTTTGAGAGCCTGTAAAGTTGGCTTTTGTTTTAAAGTCTCTTTGGAAGGAGGAGGACACAGCAACCCAGAAGGTTGTTGGAATTACACAGACTGGAGTCTGACGGCACGCACTGTCTTCAAGAGGAGCAGCTGCGGCTCCTGTGATGGGAGCTGTCTGCTCTGGAGCGCCGGGGTCGGGGAGCGCTGCCCCAGCCCAGAGGGGACAGTCATGCTCCGCTCTTCTTCTTCCTCTCCAGGGACCTTAGAAGATTGGGATGTGGCCGTTCAGAAAACCGAAACTCGCTTGGCTCGCGTGAATGAGCAGAGGATGAAGGTGACAGTGACCTTCCGGAGGGGTTGGGACTGCACTGCCGCCGCCCCCCCCCCTCCCCCGGTTCGCTGTGGGTGTTTTGTCTGCGTGAATGTCTGTGCACCTTGTGTGGGCAGTGTCCACAGTGGCCAGAGAGTGTCAGATCCCCTGGTACTGGAGTGTCTGTTGTGAGCAGCCATATGGGCGCTGGGAATTAAACCTGGGTCCTCTGGAAGAGCAACTGGTGCTCTTAACCATAGAGCCATCTCTCCTGCCCCTTCATAAGATGCTAACTAAACCGTTTGGGTCAGTATTTACACTTAGCCCTTGGAACTTCCAGTTTAACAACAAGAACTGACCGCACTAGATCAAACACAAGAGCCCAGAGGGGCTCCTGGGTCTCACTCGTGGGAGCTGTTGGCACCTGATGGCCATTGGGGAGGGGAGGAGCCTCAGTTTCCCTCTCGGGTGCAGTGCAGCCTGGGGCAGATTGTCACACTCCTCCACTGAATGGCTTCTGCAGACAGACCAGTGGTACCAGTTAGACTCAGTGGTTTAACAGACAGGAAGAGTGAGTGAAGTTGAGGGAGATGTGGTGGCCAGGATCCGAGAGGAATAGGGGTGGGTGGGGAATTTGATCAAAATGTGTTGTATATATGGATGAAATTCTTGGAGGGTTTTTTTTTGTTTTGTTTTTAGGAGCCACAATAGGCCTATGAGTAGTACATGAGCACCTGGCTTGCTTGTGGCCTGGGAGGGATTTTCTAAGTTGGGGATGGGAAGACCCGCCCTGAATGTGGGTGGCATCATTTCATGGGCTGGGCTCTGAAATGAAATGAAGAGAGCGAGCTAAGCATGGCCCGCGGGCATTCCTTCTCTGTCTATCTGTGGAGGGTGCTGGCTGCTTCGAGTTCCTCCCCGGCCTCTCCACAGTAGACCTGTAAACAGCCTGCAGCTGTGAGCGCAGATAAACCGTTCTCCTCTAGGTGGCTTTTGTCGGGCATTCTGTCCCAGCAGCAGACGTGAACCCAGGGCAGGGCCCTGGCTTTAGGAATGGGTTTCTGTTGCTTGGTGTGTCAGGATTGCGGATATTGAGAGTATATGAGTTACGAGTCTCCGCTTCCCATGTCCAATGCTCCTGAGTTGCATGAAGAGAGCCCCTGTTCCCCCGCCCCCCATCTCCTTCAAGGTCCTGTCTCCTTACCAGCCAGCCAGCCTGACGGCACCCAGAACGTCCTGCCCTCTTTCCTAGGCTGCAGAGAAGGAAGCCGCTCTTGTGCAGCAGGAGGAAGAAAGGGTTGAGCAGCGGAAGAAGGTGAGGGCCGAGAAGAAAGCCCTGAAAAAGAAGAAAAAGACCCGCGGGGCAGACAAACGCAAGGCGGACGAGGAGGATGAGAGAGAATGGGGCGAGGAAGAGGAGGAAGGTAAGGTCAACTTAGCCGAGGCCCGCACACGGGTCCATAGAACATGTCCAAGAGTGGCCTTGATGTCCTCAGAGTAGCACACCCGATGTCACCGCTGTGCTGCCCCGGCACAGTCAGGATTCATACCATCCAGTTCACAGCTCTGTTCACCATCTCCATGTCTCTCAGTAGTGAGTCTGTGGTTAAAGTCCCAATTGAAAATCAGTGCTCCGTGTAGCTGCTCTGTGTCATTTCTTGAGGCAGTGGTAGAGGCTGTCCAGGTCCAGCCCACGTCTGCTGCTGGGATGCAGAAGGCTCTGTCAGTATTGAAAGAGTTTTAGAGACATCCTTTGTACCAACAAAGGATGTGTGGGTGGTCTGTCACCTGCAGGCTTCCGTACTGCTTCCAGCGTCTGTTCTTCCGGGTCACTTGGGAATTGTAAGAGGGACTCTGGGACTCCTGACTGTATGTGCAGTTACGACTGGACGGTGGGGATTTATGTTCTCGCTTTCACTACATAGCTAGTCCTTTGCTGGTGTGTAAATTGGGCCCACACATGGGGGGCCTGGTGGCTGTCCCTGCGTTGCGGGGCAGTTTGTTCGTGTTGGGACGTGCTGGTGCAGAAGGAATGTGTAACGCGTTAACTGCCTCTGTTCTCTTGAATGTCTGCAGAGCAGCCTTGCAAGCGCAGACGCCTGGAGAATAGTGTGGCCTCTGCCGTGGCTGCATCCACGCAGGAAGACACGGAAGTGGCTGGGAGATGTGTGACCATAGACGTTGCTCCTCCTTCCAAGCAGAAGGAGAAGGCAGCCTCCCTCAAGCTGGACATGCCCAAGGTGGCTCACGACAGCAGTAAAGACAGCGTCACGGTCTTTGTTAGCAACTTGCCCTACAGCATGGACGAGCCAGAGGTGAAGCTCAGGCCACTCTTTGAGGCCTGCGGGGAGGTGGTTCAGATCAGGCCGGTCTTCAGCAACCGTGGGGACTTCAGGGGCTACTGCTACGTGGAGTTTAAAGAGGAGAAGTCAGCCCGTCAGGCCCTGGAGCTGGACAGGAAGAATGTGGAAGGAAGGCCAATGTTTGTCTCCCCTTGTGTGGATAAGAGCAAAAACCCCGATTTTAAGGTATGTTTTAGGAAAAAGGATGCCTTTAAGGTGGGCTGCCAGATGGGCAGTGCTTAGCGCCTGGAGCCCACACAGGATCATGTGCTGGCAGCCGCAAGGCTTGTTGAGGAGCCGTCTGCCAGGCTTGGCCACTCGGAGCCTCCTTGACTTGGTGGTGGATATAGTTAGTGCGTGGAAAGATGGCTGCTTCCTTCGGGTGCTCAAGAGCATGGCAAGAGCGGCCACACCTGTGCTCAGTGCATGGCTGTTACCCTGGCCGTTGTACAGAGGTCATGTGCCCAGTGGTTTTGTTACTCAAGTGTCTGGCTGGCTGGGACACACGCCTGTGAGTTCCTGGGCACGTACGCTGGCGTGTGCCTTCCTGAACCGTGCGTGAACTTTGCCTCTCTTGCAGGTGTTCAGATATAGCACCACCCTGGAGAAACACAAACTCTTTATCTCGGGCCTGCCCTTCTCCTGCACCAAAGAGGAACTCGAGGACATTTGTAAGGCTCATGGCACCGTGAAGGACCTCAGGCTGGTTACCAACAGGGCTGGCAAGCCGAAGGTCAGTGGGTGCGGGCAGACTTTGGGTCTGTTGCTGAGGAGTGGCCAGCCTGGGCTTCCCTGTCCTCCTCCTCCTCTCTTTGCCCTGTTGGATCCTTCGTGTGACACATTTGGGGTCATCTTTCAAGCCCCGACTCCACCCACTTGGAGTGTGGTGGAAGAAGATGCCAGGGATCCTGACCGTCTGGGATTTGTGTCTCTCCACCTTGCTGGGCTCACACTGTTTCTGTCTTTGGGGCAAGCACAGAGGCTTTTCGAGCTTCCAGTCAGTGACAGCCACGGGGCAAATGGTTGGACTGGGGGTTAATCAGCAGCCAGGAGGTGGCGTTAGGGAGGTCCCTGCCGATGGGTGCTGCTCTCCTGAAGAAAGTCGGGTCCTTAACTTCTGACCGAGCTGTGAATTGTCTTTCAGGGTCTGGCCTATGTGGAGTATGAAAATGAGTCCCAGGCGTCCCAGGCAGTCATGAAGATGGATGGCATGACCATCAAAGAGAATGTCATTAAGGTGGCAATCAGTAATCCTCCTCAGCGGAAGGTTCCAGAGAAGCCGGAAGTGAGGACCCCTATGGTACCCCGGCAGATGTATGGAGCGTAAGTGTCTACTGCTGTTTGGTGCAGGTCTGTCCTGGCTAGTGCTGGGGGCAGGGTTAAGTCATGTCTGGAGGTCAATGAGTTAGGTCGGAAATGCCAGGACCTGCTGCTGAGTGACCTCTGGTGTCACCGGCCAAGATGTGCATGCAGGTCTCTAAAGGGAAGCGGCCCTGGTGGCATGGTGTGGTGTTTGCAGTTCACACCTTTCCTTGGGGCACTGGGATGGAGCCCAGGGCCTCAACGTGCAGAGCAGCTATTAGGTTCCTGGTGCTGCCATGAAGACCGTGGAGAAGAAAGGCTTATGCGGCTCACCACTTAGAGTTAGTCCATTACCAGGAAGCCAAGACAGGAACCTGGGGCAGAGGCCATGAGGGCCACAGAAAGCTTACTGGCTTTCACTATAGGCCTTGCTCAGCTTGCTTTCTTAAAAAAGTTTTATTGTTATTTACATTCATTTTTTGTGTTATGCGCATCTCGTCTGCTCATACGTCTGTGCACTACATGTGTGCAGTGCCCACAGAGGCCAAAAGGGAATTAGATCCTCTGGAACTGGAGTTACAGGTGGTTGTTAGCTGCCTTATAGGTGCTGGGAATTACCTGGGTCATCTCCAAGATGTGCTCTTAACCCCTGAGTCTCTAGCCCCTCATCCTGCCTGCCTTCTTTCATTTTGAATATTGATATATTTATTTATTTTTACGCATATGGGTGTTTTACCTGCACGAATGTCTGCCCTCCATGTGTGTGCAGTACCTGTAGAGGCCAGACGAGGGCATTAGAACTGGAATTACAAGTGGTTGTGAGCCACTGTGTGGGTGCTGGGACTCAAACCCCAGTCCTGGAAGAACAGCCTGTGCTCTTACTGCTGAGCCCTCTCTCCAGCCCTAGCCTGCTTTCTGATATAACCCGGGACACCTCCCTGCCTGGGGATGGCACCACCCCAGGGAACTGGGCCCTCCCACATTAATTAAAAAAAAAAGCTCCACTGACGTGCACACAGGCCCATTTGATGGAGGCAGTTTCTCAATCAACGTTCCCTCTTCCCAGATGATTCTAGCATGTATCAGGTTAACAAAAACGTAGCCAGCTACAGTCTTAGCTTTTGAGAAAAATTTGAGACAGGGCCTTCGCCTCCTCAGAGCTGGGAGCACAGGCATCCAGCTGAGGTGAGCGCGGGCAGCGCACGTGCGTGGTGTCTTTGTCACTAATCCACGCTTGGAGCAGAACCGGAACCGCGTGCCTGCCAGCCAGTCTGCGGCGGAGCTGTCACCCCGCAGAGGCTGAGAGATGGCAGCCTCTTGTCACCTCTGTGACTTGGCAGAGGGATGGATGCGCATTGTCAGGGCCGTGAGAAGGCGGCTTGTTCTGGCAGGAATCCAGGCGGAGGGTGTCTGGTGGATCCCGCCCTTGCTTTTCCTGGTGTGGGGTGGAGCTCAGCCGCATGTGTCACCAGTTGTGTCCTTCCCGTTTCCATCTTCTGACTTGGCTGACACCCCCAGCTGTCTGGCGGTCCAGCTGGGGCAATGGAGCCTGCTAACCAAAGGGTCATGGTGTTTGCTCTTTCTAGGCGCGGGAAGGGAAGGACCCAGCTTTCTCTTCTTCCTCGGGCTCTGCAGCGCCACACTGCTGCTCCTCAGGCCGAGAACGGCCCTGCTCTGGGGCCGGCTGCCACCACTTCCATGACCACCGAGGCTCCTAAGATGTCCAATGCTGATTTTGCGAAGTTGCTTCTGAGGAAGTGAAGAGGACTCTGAGAGATGGGAAATGCCTTACTTACTCCTTCATGCTGGCCAGACAGGTCACTGTGGGCCCTGGAGATAGGAGGGCTGGGCACTCACCTGCCTCCCAGATTCTCCTCTGATGGAGACGAGAAGGAAAAGCCTACACTGAGCATGGCGGCGAGGAGTATTCCCTCACATTGAGGGCGGAGGCCAGCTGCTTTACGGGCTGTCCCCAGGTACTTCAGTGTCTAACAAGGAGGGACTCAGCTTTTGAGGCCCACTTGTCCTGATACTTTGATCACCTCTGGCCCCTTTTCTACAAACCCCCTACCCCCCCAAGCCCTGCACAGCACGAGTGCCCATCGCTCCTTAGACCTAAAAAGATACAATGGAAAATGCTTGTCACTCATCAGGATGGCCTGGCTAGTACAGTGCGGGCGGGGCCATCGCAGAGGACACGTGATGATGGGCTTTTGTCCAAAGAGGCGCGAGAGTTTTTTATTATGTATTTGTAATTGACACATCAACTGTTTTATGTTCCCAAAGCGGAATGTCTGCGGTATTTGTTTATATAGGAATGCGTGTGCCACTGCTGTGGACCATTTTCTTTGCCTGGTGACTGGAGACCTGTGTCCTCTGTCCACCCTTGTGTCTAAATGCTGTGTCCAGCGCGAAGTCGTTCCCCACTTAGCTTTGTTTATTAAAGTGAAGTTCTCTCTTACCAAAGCCTTGCACAGTGCTGCTGGGTTTGTGTTCACTATCAGCCGGTGTGTTTCACAGGGATGGGCCTGCCTTCCTAAGGAGTGTGCTAACAGCTTGTGTGAGTCCAGTCCTGCGACGGTGTGATTACTATCCAGCAGTGACGCAGACCTGGTTGTAGCGGCCCTGACGCTGCTGGGAAGAGTTTACTTCTCACTTGCGCCCTGCAGCCCCTGCTCGGAAAGCCTCTCGGCAGGGGCAGGGAGAGCCGTGGGGAGAATCTCACGGTAAAAGGACTTCGGAGGAAAGCACTAGGGAGCCCGCGTGTGTGTGTGTGTGTGTGTGTGTGTGTGTGTGTGTGCTGGACATTGCTCCTGTGTGAGTCTATGTATCCGTCAGCCACGTGCCCAGCCTAAGTTTTAACATTTTAAAAAAAAAAATCCCTTTTGAAAAATTTTATGAGTTTTGCCTGCATGTATGAGTGCCATGTGTATGCCTGGTGCCCATAGTTTGGAAAAAGGATCCCATGGAACTGAAGTCAGAGATGGTTGTGAGACGCCATGTGAATGCTGGGAACAGAACCCAGGTCCTCTGCAAGAGCCACAGACACTCTCATTCCCAGCCGCTGAGCCAGCTCTCCAGGCCCGTAACGTTTTTAAGTGTAGCCGGGGCTGTGTGCATCCTGGGGCTCTTAGCACTCAGCTCCTGCCCCCCTCTTGGTTTCCGGCCATCTCCCTTTCCAGACAGCAGGGCACTCATCAGCCAACAGCTGACGCTGCCAGGACCTAGCCCAAGTTCAGCTCCCATCTGGTAAATGGTAGTTTACCCTTCCTGTAAATCAGTTTTTAAGGTGTAGGTCTCCTCCATCTTTATTGCATAACGCACACAGACCTTTTTCTAGGCATTGCCTTTCACTTAGACAACAGCTATGGATAGCAGGGGCCTCGCTGTGGCCTGGGCTGCTCCTGGATCTGTGAGTGAGCTGACTAGGCAGTTCAGAGTGTGCACCTGGGGGTGTGCTGAGAAGACAGTGGCCGTGAGCTAATCCCACTGGGTTTGTGTGGCTTTCCTGATGGTCTCCCAGAAACCATCTGGTTCTCACGGTGGCCAGTACACAGGTATGACTTAATGTTCTCCACAGAGTTCATGACACGGGGAGCCTTTCCACACGCAGAAGGGCCCACTGAGGGCATCGGAAAGAACAAAAATCATTTTCAATTTGGGTAAAAACTTAGTGAATTTAGCTCAGGGCAAGCATCCTCTGAGATCTGTTCTCAGAGCAAGATACACGGTGGCAGCTCAGAACTCCCTCCCTGAATAAGACAATGCAATCAATGTTTATGTAATAAAATACTTTATTAGAACCAGTAATTTGTTAAAATATCTTTCACGTGTATCTAAAGTGCAGGTTCTCACTACAGGTGTTCGGAGAAGAGCTTGGGGCCGCACTACCGTGCGGTGGTGTGCAGTGTGACATTGCAGGCTGGAGAGCTGTGTGTGGCACCACCACCACACACACACACACACACACACACCTTTTCACTCTTCACAGCCCCGCAGAAACTGCCATGAGTATCTTATAAACACCGACACATCAGTTGGCAGAACCTAACTGGGGGTTTGACCCCTGGTGTGAATTTACCATCATCCAAACAAAGAGAAAGTGCAGGACTGTGTGCGACTCCTGGGCTGTCCCTCGGAACAAGCCCAGTGACCTCTAGCCACTCCGACTCAATAGCAGCAGCAGATTGGCACTTAGCCACCTGATTGGAAAAAGGTTATTTTTCCTAAGATGACAACTTGGAAATGCATCTGTATCGGGCACAAAACTATCACTTTACAAGTTACTGGAAAAGCAAGGCCACTCCGAGGCTCTACCTATCCAAGGGGACGTCGGACCCTATAATGGCTTTATAGGGGAAGGGGTTAAAAAACGCAGGACAGAAGGGACCAGTCTGGGCTGTGGGCACAGGTGTCTGCTTGCTTTTAATGCTTTTTTTTTTTTTTTTATTATCAGAAATGCTTATTTGGGGTAGGTATGTATCTTAGATACATTCTTTTTTTGATGTTAGGGATGGTGCCTGGGGCGTGGTGCATGCTGGGTGAACATTACACCACTGAGCCTCACCTCCAGGTCTTCAGATGCGTCCTCTAGGGTCCTCATGCAGGAGACTTGAATGGGAACTGAAGCAGACCTGCTTTATGGCGTGAGGGAGTGAGGGAGCAGGTTGACAAGCTTGGAGAACTCCATCTAAAGCATCTGGTCTGAGTTGGTGCAAGTGAAGTACTGAGAAAGAAAAAGCCAAGCTTGGCCGCCCTCTAAGAAGTCTGCAGAGGAAAAGAACAGCCCCTGCCCCTCAGGTTAGCAAGTTAATGGCTCAGAGGGTCTTTGGAAATCTGCAGTCTCCCGCTGGAGATGGCGGCGTCTGCTTCCTGTTTTCAGAGGGCTGCTCTGTCAGGGGAAGCGGCCACCACCACCACCACCTCTCAGGAGTGAAAGCCCGCCACAGAGCAGGGCAGGTTTTGCCCAGGACTGCAGCCTTCCCTCTAAAGTTACAGGACCTCAAAGGCATTTGAGGGACCCTTGTGGCCCTGGGCTTCGCCCCACAGATCTGGTCCCTCTGCCCCCACTTAGTGCAAATTCTGTCTGTAACCCAGGCTCAGGACATAGAGGAGCATGGCTCCTCTGCAGGGCGCTGGGATCGCGGCACCACTTGGCACTGCTAACTCACTCAAAAAATAAATAAATAACTTGGCTGAAGTATAAATTACCCCAAAGACAAGGCTTAATAATTTAGTTTTCTTTCCCACCTAAAAAACATCTGGAGGTAAAGAATGAATGTCTCCTTTTGCTACTGGGGAGAGCTATGTTTCTAGAAAGGTGTTCTCAGGAGGCCGTCTCCTGGCTTCCCTTGGCCACAAGGTTAAGGCCTCACAGGGAGTGTCTCCTTGAACCCAGAATGGTTGGGCTGGGCTTCCGGCAGCGCCACAGAGTACTCCGTGGTGGCGAGGAGCAGTGTGTCCAGCGTGACCTCTGTACACTTGGCAATGAAGCGGATGAAGGGCCGCACGTCACCCTCGTTGGCGACCTCCAACACGTGGTAGTACTCGGACCTCTGCTCCTTGCGGATGGTGATGGGGGGGTACCCCGCCTGCATGAGGATCAGGTTCATCAGCAGGCGGGAGGTCCTCCCGTTGCCGTCGATGAAAGGGTGGATGTACACCAGTTTGTAATGGGCCAAGGCTGCGAACTCCACCGGGTGCAGGTTCATGGCGTCCTCCGAGTTGAGCCACTGCGTGAACTCCTGCATCTGCTTCTCCACGTCCCGGGGGTGCGGTGGGATGTGGTGTCCCACCAGGACCTGGGTCCTCCGAAACCTTCCGGCCTCCACCGGATCCACGTACCCCAGCACCCTCCTGTGGATCTCGAGCATGTCGTCGATGGTGACAGACCCGATGCGGGAGACCAGGGTGGTGTTAATGTACTTCATGGCTGCGTGCATGCCGATCACCTCGTTCTGCTCCTCCAGGCTCTTCCCTGGCACGGCATAGCGGGTCTCCAGGATGTGCCTGATCTCCGAGAGGGTGAGGGTGTTGCCCTCGATGGCCACCGTGTGGTAGATGTGGTGGTAGTAGGTCTCCTCCATGACCCTGCGCAGCGCCGAGCTCCCCTTCGGGATGGACATGACCTTCTTCACTTTGCTGTCGATGATGCTAAAATACCTCTGGTCGATCTCCTCCACGAGCGGCAGCGTCCGATCCCGGTTGACCAGCGCTTTCTCGTGGAAGGGCGAGATGGTCAGTGCCCTGGTGTAGAGGTAATCCGCCTGGATGATGTCCTTTTCCTCCTCCGAGAAAATGCCGAACTCATTGAGCGCGTCGACGAAGCCAGGGTCCATCTTGAGGGCGTGCAGGAAGAGCTTGTGGGCTTTCTCCCTCTTGCCTTGACGCTTCATCTCCAGGGCTTGGTTCAGAGCAGCCTTGGCTTCCAGCTTCCCTGCTGGAGGAGAGAGAGCCAGAGAGGCCTGATGAGGAGGGCTGGCCGCGGGGGACACTCAGGAGATGTCCCCGTGTGGGTCTACCATGCAGGTTGTGTTAAACATGCCCCGGGTACGGCCACTCTCCACAGCCCTGTGGGGTGGGAATGCTGGTCACGGGGCTGTGTCCCGAGCCACTTTACCCTGCAAGACACCAGCTGGGCTCCCCTGCCACCTGCCTGGACATAGACAGTCTGGGCATTGACCATCCCTGTGTTCTCCCTACAGTGTGGCAGCTCCGGGTGCCTGCCCTCCCTGTGGTCAGGTGGCCTCATCTCTTGAGCCCCACCCCTTCAGGCCTGGGGATGCCAACACCTTCCACTCAGCTTCCCATGCCTGGACTGTTTTTGTTCCTGGCAGTTGTGGGGATGAGACCCAGGCCTTTGTATACACCCAGGCAAGTGTTCTATCCAGCCATGCCTCCAGCTCTGATGACTCCAGTTTGTGGCAATGTCTAGTTGTCACCACTGGGGGGCAGTGTGCTGCTGGCATCCTTTGGCACGTCACTGTGTACACGGGGCACACTAGGGGAGCGATCCCACTGGGGAGGCGGCCCTCTTCCCAGCTCTGTGTTGTCTCTGAGGCTCAGCACGCACACCCAGCTTCCCTGAACCCCGCAGGTGCCCCCAGGTTCCACGCCCTGCGGTTTCCGGCCAGAGCCCTGCTCTCAGGCAAATCTCCTCAAACCACCCCCATTTAGAGCCCAGATGCAGCTCAGGCCCCACCCTCTGAGTCTCCCTCCACACACCGGGACACCTGTTCTCGGCCACTCACCCAACAGGCGTTCCTGACTGCCGGCCGCATTCACCATAACACCCTCATGCCCACACCCAGGGCACTGCAGGCATGCCATAAATATCTGTCTTAACTGACAAGGGCGAGGTGGCCAGTGTGCTCACCTGGAGATGTCTTAGTCTTGACCGTCAGCAGCCTCACGTCCCCAGAGGTGACGCTGAGCTCCGTGGATGGGCTGGTGCACTTGGTGACCAC